GGTGTGAGGTGTGGGCATAGGGGAACTGAGCGCTGTGGCGTGTGGAGTGGGTCTGTGTGATGATGATAAGTGGCTATGGAACAGCTTGAGTCCCAGGATGGATTATAGCATGCACATTTTGAACTAGGATGGATTGCTATGGGTGTGGAGTGGTGCTCTAGCATAGAGACTTTTATAAAGTAGAGGGAAACTCTCTGGCCTGTAGCTGGGAATCATTCTAGTAGAACACCAGTAGGGATGGACTTGTAGACACCAGTCCTTTTTGGACATGATGGCTCTGGGAGGCATGTATATAAGAAAGAGAATTAGATGCAACTGTTTATGCAGATTGGTGATGGGGGGAAAAACATTTGCTCTTAAACATGCAGTTGGAGGCCACTTCAGTTACTATCTCACAGTTTATTCAGAGAGTTGTATGCTCAGAGGAGGCAGTTTAGCCCAGCTGTTACTTTGTTTGGGATGGTAGGGGGAACGGACAATAGTGCTTCTATAGGTGAAAGAGACTGGTAAGATACTGGATTCCTAGTCAGAGACAATAAAGGGCAAAAACCAAATAACCAGGCAGTAGAGAATTTGTACCATTACAGTTCTGCTGTTTATTCATTTGAAGGTTGGCAGTTGCTATAGGCAGCTATTTTAATGGAGTTACCAATTTCTTAGAAAAAGTTTGAAGTTCTCTAGCTGTAATGATCTTATTGGTACCAGTTTTCTGTGTTAATTTTGTCAATGAGTGATGTATTTTTCAGTCAATTAAAGGTATTACAGTCATAACCAGTTGTAACTGTGTTTCTTTTATTGTGCACAGTACTGTAGACTCATTGTTCAAATATTTTAATTTTGATGTTTTTTAATGTTACATATACACATATGAAAAAAACTTTAGAACACTTAAGACTTTTATGTGCACCACCAAATAAACACAAACTGTACTGACTTGGACCCTGATTATGTTATAAGATCTTCATGCAGATTATGTAATTCCTGTGAAGAACATCATTTATACCTGGGGAAGTTCTGCAACAAAAAATGAGAAAATCTGTACATAATATTTTAAAATTCTGCACAGTTTATTTGTAAAAATAACAATATAATCATGCCAGTTTCAATTATTTTAATAGTTTATTTAAACTACAATACAGTGGATGGAGAATATAAGTGAGGAGGATTGGAGGAAATCCCCGATTTCCATTTGTCCAATAGTAATGTAGGCATTACCTTTTATTTCTAGTTATTAGTCAACAAATATATGCAGCCATCATATATGTATTACATCATAAGTAAGAAAAACTTAAAAAATAACGAATACTCTCGCAGCACCTTAAAGACTAACAAAACGTGTAGATGGTATCCTGAGCTTTCGTGGGTACAACCCACTTCTTCGGATGACACTGAAGAAGGTTGTACCCACGAAAGCTCAGGATACCATCTACATGTTTTGTTAGTCTTTAAGGGGCTGCTAAACCAGTGTTTCTCAATTTTATTTGGCCATAGAACCCTTTTAAACTTGAAAGAATTTTGCAGAACCCCTAATATCAGTCTAACATATGGAGCTGAAAGAGTAGACCACAAATAAGTAAGCATGATGATAATAAACAAATACTAAACAAGGTCATGAGATCAACATTTAGTATAATTGCACATACAGGCAGTCCCCGGGTTACATACAAGATAGGGACTGTAGGTTTGTTCTTAAGTTGAATCTGTATGTAAGTCAGAACTGGCGTCCAGATTCAGCTGCTGCTGAAACTGATCAGTTTCAAATAATAAACACATACTAAACAAGGTCATGAGATCAACATTTAGTATAATTGCACATACAGGCAGTCCCCGGGTTACATACAAGATAGGGACTGTAGGTTTGTTCTTAAGTTGAATCTGTATGTAAGTCAGAACTGGCGTCCAGATTCAGCTGCTGCTGAAACTGATCAGTTTCAACAGCGACTGACTTGGGGATGCCTGGGGCAGAGCAGCTGGGGTGCTGCTGGGTTGGTCCAGGAGCGCCTCCTCTCCTCGGCGCTACAGGACCA